TTTTTTTTTTTTTTTTTTTTTTTTTTTTTTTTTTTTTTTTTTTTTTTTTTTTTTTTTTTTTTTTTTTTTTTTTTTTTTTTTTTTTTTTTTTTTTTTTTTTTTTTTTTTTTTTTTTTTTTTTTTTACCTTATTATTGTATTGCATTGTTTTATGTTCTATGGAAGTTAATAAATGTCTTGAAAGAAAAAGAAAAAGAAAAGAAAGTACATTATGCTTCTTTCTTTAACACGCATAGAAATTGGTGTATGGATCCTTAACTGTACATAACAATACTAAGTAGAAAAGTTGAGTGCAAATAGTAATGATTATAATTTTCTTTTATGCATGAACTAAAATATACCTGTTATTCTTAAAACGAACTTTAGTCATAGTTTGAGCTAAAACTTCAAAATTTCTTCATTTCATATTCTTAAAACGAACTTTGATAGCACTACAACTAAATCATGCGTACCTCGACATAAATTATACCTCTTTGGGCCAATTTTTTTAGTCAGCCTAGAGTCCGGCTAAATCGCCAACTTGAAATGTTTACCCCACTAAAAACGTGCTTTTTCTGACTTACGATAAAGTGAAATGAATAAAAATTAGTGTATAAATAGGTCTGATGTATCTCCAGTGTGTTCAGTAAAAGGGACATTTACGTTTAGCTTCCAAAAGACAAAATTAACATGTTTTGCTAGCCACATGCAACAGTTCCTGATTTGCACTAAATCCCCACGCGTCGCGGTCACGTAGCTTCATTGTAACAACAACAAAAATGGCGCCACCTCATTCGACCTCAACATAATAGTTCTCCAAAGAAAGTAAATTTTCATTGACAGTTCAAATTCTCTGTCGTAAGATGTTAACGACTAATATAGTTATTATTATAGAATATTAGTTAGGTTAATAATGCTCTATGAATTGTCAGGAAATATGTTTTTGAAAGACAGATGGCAGTTTAATATTCATTTGCATTACTGGATCTCTAAAATTTTATCTGCTATTAAAATTAACTCTTTCCATTGGTTAGTTTGATAGTTGTTGCTTGCCAGCCATCTTCAGCTGAACTACAACTAGGACTTGACTTAGTCGTAGCTAGAAATTCGACTACGGTGTTTGTGAATACAATTTGAAATTGAAGTTGCAACTAAGACTAAATGAAGCTGTAGTTCGAAGTTCGACTAAAGTTCATTTTAAAAAGATGGGCGTCAGTCTCTGAGTGCATTTGCTTTTACAACCAATTGCTAAGTTGTTCTCCACATTTGAAAAAATAAAATTATAACAATCGCATTTCACATAGTTTTAAAATGGGTATTAATAAACTGAGTGAAATATCTACAGAATATAATTTTCTATTTAAAATATAAATATATACAATTCACAGAGTCTTCCCAACAACCAGTAACTCATGAAAGTGTGGCAACTCCGTCTTGTAAGTATTCTAGTCTGCAGTGTGCCCATTCTACAGTCAGTTTTTTATTAATTTATTAATCAGATCAGATCAAAACCATGCTCATAGAATCACACCAAATTTTTAGGCATTTCATTTTTTCTATCCGTATTTTTAAAAAAAATGCTTTGCGCTTCTGCATTTTTTTTTAATAACATGAGAGTTGTATAGTTTAAGTAGTGTTCTTGAGACTCAGGTTTGAAACTTTTTTATGATTGTATGTCTTGCTTTCTTCATCTACATAACAATATAGGCCTATTCAATATTCCTATGCTTTTATTATCTAGTTTTTCAGGGCTGTAAAAAGTTTGTGGTCCTGGGTCCAGGACTTGAGTATTTTAGGGCTGGGCTAGCAAAAAATACATTAAATCTAGACCAATATTCAATAGCTGATATTAAGGGCTAGCAATTATTTTGGCAAAATCTTGGTCCAGCAAAACATCTTTTTACAGCTCTGGTTTTTATTTTATTATAATTTTGAAATATATAAACAAAATTGCGAAGTGTGCAAGGTAAACAAATTTAAATAAAGTAATGAGATTTCTAAATGCTTTCAATTTATATAATCCCCCAAATAAATAATCTACATGTCTACGTAATTATATAATTGCTAGCCCTTAATATCAGCATAGGTACTTATAGGCTTAGTTAAATTCTATTTCCCCTCAGTGTATTTTTTTTTATATATAACATATGTTGTGCTAAAAGATAAGTTGACCTATGCAAATATTTTAAGAAACAGACAAAAATGTGATGATGATTTATTTTGGGGAATTTCAAAGCAGCTCTAGGCATAATAGAATTAAATTTAAACAATTATTTTTTTTAATCAAATATTCTATCTGTATGCCTAATCTTATTGTTGGAATATGGACAATGAGTAATATTTGAACATGTGGTCCGTGAAGTTTTTGGCATGTCCAGAGAGGTCCACGAATGCAAAAAGTTTAGGAACCACTGGTTTAGTGTTTGGTTGATGAACTATATATAAAAAGGTCTTTTTGCCACCATATTGTGCCATACTTCAAGCTGCGCAACAGCCATGACAAAAAAGGGGAAATCCCCAAAACTGTTCACTTACAGTTTAACATATGTCACAATAGATTTCAGGGATCAACCGAGAAAATATGTAAACATCAAAAAATCAAATGCCATTGTAGCTACTTATGTATATACCAATAGTCTTACTCCAATCTAATCCAAACTACGACTTATAGTATATTGTGCATTTTACAAGTCTTAAGACTTAAGTATTAATCTTAAGAGCCTTGGTTGAATTCTATTTCCACCTTTTTCCCCCCCCCCCCCCCCCAAAATCAGTATTTTTTATATATATATTTTATATGTAGTGTTAAAGATAAGTTGATCTATGGGAATATTTTAAGAAACTCCTGTACAGTGAACATTTCCATGTATGCTCATTATAGTTAAAAAGAGATTTCTCAAAGTAGCAGAAAATAATTTTTTCGGAAATCTATGGTGAAAACATGTACTGATGTGCTTGAAATGAGCAAAAATGCCTAGCCTGCTAGATGCAGATTCTTTCAACACCTTCTAATATATGCATGCTATTCAATTCAATAAATTCACAATCTGTAAAATTATAGTTTGAAATTAACATCGTTACTTACAGTGTATTGCTTCAACAACTAATTCTTTCTACAAAACGTAGGTGGTGGCACGGTGTGAACATTGGTTGCGCCTGGTAAGCACTTTGAGTACAGAGTGAGAACCCAAAACTGGTACCAGGAGATGCATGGGCCTCATTTAAGGTCCATGGGCCAGCCCTCAAAAAATTGAATATTTCAAGATTTTAGATTATTTTAACATTTTGGTAGTATTTTACAACAAAAAGAGATACACAACAGACAACTGTAAATCTGCTGTATGCTATGCCCGAAGTTGATCTGTTCTTTTTCAAAAATTAATGTAGTTGTAATTGTTGTAGCACCTTACTTTAAATCGATTTTTCATTTTAATTTTTAAATTCAATATTCAAGTTTGTTTTTTTTTTTTGGCAAATTTGGCCAGTGCTACAAAATATAATTAATACATTCCTACTATTTCTCTGAATTCACAGGCACATTATCATTAATGAGTATTATATAACATTTACTACATAATAGTTG